GGGAGGGAGGGAGAGACAGGCTTTTGAAACAGGGCGAGGGAGACGCAGGGATCAAGGATAAAGTAGAAGGGCTCGAGTGAATAATCATGAGATTGGATGACGATGAGACGGTGAAACAAACAAAAGAAGATGAAGAGCAAGACTTGAAAAAAGAAGAAAGGATGCGAGGGCAACAAGTGGCAGAAGCAATTCATGGTTGAAGGACATTCTGACAAGATAAGATCTCATCTGAGACGAAGCGAGACAACAGGAGGTTGGATTGAATGGGGATGGGAAGAGATGAGATGTTTCGAGATACGCGTCTTCAAGTATTACATTACAATATCGTATCTACATGAGATTCAGCTAACTTCAAGTGTAAAATTACAATGTCATATCTACATGAGATTCAACTAACTTCAAGTGTAAAATTACAATCATATCATTATCTACATTTGTCTATATGCACCCTTTGCTCTTCAAGCTTGCAGAGACCCTCCGCTGTCCGACAGGGTCCAGTCTCCTTCCATGTTAACCTCCCTGCATCCCTCCTCCCTCTCCCCCTCCCTCCACCTCCTGCAACTCACGACGAACTTTTTTATCGCTACTTGGCCCAGGAGCAGCTGAAACTTCCCTGCTCTGACGTCCAGCGTTCCTGCCCACCTCATCCTCAGCAAGAGAGCAGTGAGAGAGCGAGCGGGTCACCCGCCGCTCCTGCGAAGAAGACAGGGAGGACCCGAGGGCATCCGTCAGCTGGCTCGAAGCTCAGCTTCAGCTGGGAAGGGTCGTAGAATCCTCGGCTCAGCGCAGAGAGGATGCTCCATCCGATCTGACAGGTGGGTGAACAACAGAGGGGCAGCAGAGGGAGGCAGGGTGCAGGGGACGAGCAGGAGAGCAGCAGGGGAGGAGCCGGAGAGCAGCAGGAACGTCTCACCAGCTGACGGGAGTAGTGGGAGTTACACCATGGCTGTCCGTCTACTGACACTCCAGGAGGCTTCTTGCCGCATTCTCCGCTCCTGCTCCCCGTCAGTGCGGCACCGGCAATCGCATGCAGGTTACGCGTCCATGCCGGGCCCCGCCGTCAGGTCCCTCCAGTCCCACAAGTCTTGCAAGTGACGGCGATACCTAGACGCGAGTCAGGCTGGAGGGTCGAGCGAGTCGCTCAGACTTGTCGAGGACGTTGGAGAGGGGGAGGAGGGCGCGAGCGAGCGGCACGTCGAGGAAGACGGAGAGCGTCGACCACGTGAGCGAGCCCGCCTCCCAGATCAGGTTGTCCCTCCCTGCCTTCCTGTCCCCTGCCCCTCCCGCGTTACCTCCGGGTTCAACGGCTAGTCAAACTTCAACCTCGTCCAGAGTAGTTTGACATGACCAGCAGCCCGAACTTGGTGGACGCGATCCCCATCTCCGCCTCCAGGTGCGAGAGCAGCATCTCCCTCCTGTCTCGTCGCTCACTCCAGCACACCTCTAGCTGAAACTCACGGCAGCAGCAGGCCAAGGTTGAGCTGGAAGGCCCAAAGCTGCCCGTAGAGGGTTTCCGTGTGAAGAGCCTCGACAAGCTCCCCCTCCTCGTTCCACCATGCGCGAAGAAACCTGCCGTTCCAGAGGAGCTGGTGCGGCAGCAAGTCACGATAGGGCGGCGAGAACAGCCTCGAAGCAGCGAGCAGCCACAGGGGAGGACAGAGGAGGAGAGGGGAGGAGAGGGGAGGAAGAAGAGGATAGAGGAGAAGGGGACGGGTGGAGAGAGGAGGGAAGCAGAGGAGAGGGAAGCAAGTAGCAGGGTAGCAGAGGGAGGGAGCTGACCTCCTTGACCTTCTCTTGTGCCTTGCTGAGGTGGAGCTGGCAGTAGTGCTGGAACGAGTCGTCTTGTACCAGAGCTGCGATCCTCTCTAGCATCTGCGTCAGGGCTCGTGCCGCCCCAGCCGCTTCCTACCTGCTGCTGCGAGCTGGGCAAGGTAGAGGACGGCGTTGTAGGCGGAAACGTCCTTGAGGTGAAAGTGAAACCAGTCGTAGGTGTTCTGAAGGTGTCGGGGAAGGCCGAAGCGTGAGGACCTGTCAACCTGCCAATGAACCGCCTTCCTGACGTGGAGAGCAAGATGTTTCAGTGATGAGGGTAAACAAGAGCTCCCTCATTCTTCTCCCTCCCTCTTCTCTCCTGTCCCCTGTCTCCTCTCCTTTTACTTTGCCGTCTCCTTGTCTCCTTCCCACTTCTTGGATCTCTTTCTCTTTCTCCTCTAACACTAGACACACACCCTGACCCTTGTGGTCTGGATCTCAAAACTTCTTCCACTACACACAACATCCTCCTGCCTCCTCTGCTCATTTACTCTCCTCTCCTCTCCTCTCCTCTCCTCTCTTCTTTCTCCACCCTCCTGCTCTGCTCTGCTCTGCTCTGCTCTGCTCTGCTCTGCTCTGCTCTGCTCTGCTCTGCTCTGCTCATCTCTGCTCATCTCTCCCCTTTATGTTTCTCGTCTCCTCGTCTCCTCCTCCTGTCCCTTCTCCTCCTCCTCTCTCTTCGCTCCTCGCTTACATAACAGGCTCCAGGAAGTCGAGGAGGACGCGGCGATCGCCAGTGCTCATGAAGAGGTTGAGGACGCTGAGCACGAAGCCGGGGTTGGAATCTCCCATCATCCTCGAGCCGCAAGGAAACTTGGGCTCATCTATGGGACCTGAAAGGAAAGAAAACAAGAAAGAGGAAGAGGAAGAGGAAGAGGAAGAGGGAGAGGAAGAGGAAGAGGAAGAGGAAGAGGAAGAGGGAGGAGGGAAGGAGGAGAAGGAGGAATAGCAGAAGGGGGTGAGGAGGGGGAGGAAACGTGTGAGGAGGAGAAGGAGGAGGAGGAGGAGGAGGAGGAAAGGTTAGACAAGAAGACGTGATATGACTTGAGTGTGCCTGGACTTCCTCCACATCCCTCGCCCAACGTCTCGGGAATGTATCCCTCACAGCTCTCTTGTGTGACAGCGTATCCTGAATGACAGTAAGGCGAAGCAGCAGCAGCAGCAGCAGCAGCAGCAGCAGCAGCAGCAGCAGCAGCAGGAGCAGGAGCAGCAGCAGGAGCAGGAGCAGGAGCAGCAGGAGCAGGAGCAGCAGGAGCAGGAGCAGGAGCAGGAGCAGCAGCAGCAGCAGGAGCAGGAGCAGGAGCAGGAGCAGGAGCAGGAGCAGGAGCAGGAGCAGGAGCAGGAGCAGGAGCAGGAGCAGGAGCAGGAGCAGGAGCAGGAGCAGGAGCAGGAGCAGGAGCAGGAGCAGGAGCAGGAGCAGGAGCAGGAGCAGGAGCAGGAGCAGGAGCAGGAGCAGGAGCAGGAGCAGCAGCAGCAGCAGCAGCAATAACCATGGCAAGATGCAATGGAGAGGGAAGGAGGCGAGAGGATAAGCAGGGAGAGCAAGATTGAAGAGGACTCATCAGCAGGAAAGGAGGCAAGGGGAACGAGCATGGTACCTGTGTCCAGAATGTTTCGAACCAGCTGAGGGAAGAGAAGGGCGAGGGGGATAGAGCGGTAGAGGTGGAGGTGGACAGGTTCCTGGGAAGGAGTGAGAGGAGCAGGAGACGAGCTGGCAACATGCCACGTCATTGCAAGAGAAAGACTCGAACTGGCGCCATCGTCCGTCGGCAGTCAGGAAGCCAGTCTTGATGAAGTTGGAGACGCTGGGGTGAGAGCGATCGGTGAGAGAAGAAGAAGAGGGAGAGGGAAAGATGGAAGAAGAGCAGGAGGATAGAAGAGAGAGAGGAAAGCAGAGCAGAACAGATAGAGGTGCAGAGAAGTTGAGAGGGGAGGAGAGGAGAGGAGAGGAGAGGAGAGGAGAGGAGAGGAAAGGAGAGGAGAGGAGAGGAGAGGAGAGGAGAGGAGAGGAGAGGAGAGGAGAGGAGAGCAACCAATGATTAACCTGTTCATGAGGAAGTCAATGAGCGGATGATCCAAACTGCTCTCTGCGAAAATCTTATTCCAGGAGGAGATGGTTCGGAGAATGCGGGGCTCGTGGCGGAGGTGATATTCAGCTGCATCCTGTGAACTCGCGTGTCAGCTTTCTCCTCTCCTCCTCTCCCTCTCAACACGACGAGCCTGAGCTGAGGAGAAGCGAGTAGCGTAAGCGTTGCCGACGTCTCTTCCTGCATGAATGCGGTAGGGGAGGTGCCAGGAGAAAAGAAGCTTCATCCTCAACCTAACATCGCCCCTCAACCACCTCCATCGGAACGTCTCTGTGCCCTCTCACCTTCCTTCTCCTTCCACTTCCTGCCGTATGCTGTATCCTCCGTATGCGCCATGCAGGAGCTGAGAGCTGTTGGCGCACGTGCTAGAGCTGCCTGCCAGCAGGTCGTGCCATAGCTCGCCGAACGTGTTCCTCACGGTACAAGAAGCATGGACCGCATCCTCCCTCCCTCCCCCTCCCTCCTCCCTCTCCGTCAGCCCGACCACCATGAGCTCTCCTGACGCGTGCGACTCTCCCTCACGTCGTACTTGAAGCCCAACCCTTGCAGCATTCATTTCTGCCTTCTCCTCCTCCTCCTCCTCCTCCTCTCCACCCTCCTTGCGTCGCATCCCCGAGGTATCCTGCACCCGCCATTCTCCTCTCACTCCGGCCCATCCCCCGGCTCTCCATCTCGCAGGGTAGACCGTGCGCAACAGGACGCATTTTAGCCCTTCATTGACAGGCAGCGCCGACCAACACAAGCATTCCAGTGCCTCCTCACATGCTGTCCTGCAGGCAGAGAGGGAGGGCATGCCCGGCAAGACCGCAAGTACATCTCCATCCTCCCGCACCTCGCACTGTAGCAAGAGGACGGACTGATTCACCTGCGCGCTATGCAGTGAGGACGAGGTCCAGGTTACTTGCTGTCGTTCGCTATCAGACCTCCTGACATCCAACACTCGCCCCCTCCATTCAGAGCTCGACCCATGCCCCGTCGAAACCTTGAGCTCGCATCCCACCAGCTTCGCCTCCTCCTCCTCCTCCAGCCCCACCACAGTGAACACTCCCTCGAACCGACTTTCCTTCCTAACGTGCCCCGTCATCCCGACGACTGTTGCAGTCTGGAACGGCAGGCGCACTACATCCTTCTCAGCCAACAGCGGCAGCGTCAGGCCGAACGTCACGTTGCACGCTGAGCGCGTAGGGTTGTCGACGAGGAGCTCGAAAGCGATGGAAGGGATCGAAGACATGGCGACATCGAACGGGGAGAAGGGAGAGTAAGCGAACAAGGTCAGGTTGAGAGGAAAGCTCCTGTCCGCTACCTGCATGCTTGACACTGGGAAGCCTCCTCTGTATACCAGCTCATCTACCGTAGGCAGCAGCTCGTGCTCGCTCAGTCGCACAGTCTTGGTTGTCAGGGCCTTGGCTACCTCCCACCCGTTCTCTGCACTTGAAGCTTTCACAGCTAGAACCATCTCTTCCTTGATGCTCCTCTTGCAGATCTCGCACAGCCCTGGACCCTCGTTGTCCACCAGCCAGTCCCTGAAAGATCCGTCTGATCGCAGCTCCACTGACCCTGTCCCGAGGCCCCCGAGGGGGGAGGACGATCGCATGCCAACAGGAGGAGGAATTACCGCCCCTTCGCTCGAGATACGGTACATGTACGGCCATGATCCCGTGCTGTGGAAGACGTCGTCGCCTTCGGAGTAGAAGTTGCACTGAGGGAAAGTAGCGTACACGTCTGACTTCCTCGTCTTCCCCTCGTTGAAGAAGAGCAGAGAGTGCAGCAGAGAGAGCGACGAGGATGAGGACGAGGACGAGGACGAGGACGAGGACGAGGACGAGGACGAGGACGAGGACGAGGACGAGGACGAGGACGAGGACGAGGACGAGGAGTTTGTGATATTCAAGAGGAGGAGGAGGAGGTAAAGGCCCACATTGCGCATCTGCGAATTTCTGCGCATCGGGCGCATTTGTGGCACTCTTCCTCTATAGGGGTGGGGTCCTAAACCAGTCGAAAGGACGGGTAGCAATAATCGTCGTGGAGGAATAGAGAGCAGGTGGGGCAGGGCAGGGCAGGGCAGGGAAGGGAAGGGAAGGGATGGGAAGGGATGGGATGGGAGGAGGGGGAGGGAGTACGGGGAGCAAGTATGCGCCACTCATACTCTACGTCCTCATCTTCAGCCTCCTTGCAGTCCTGATCAAGCAGACGACCCGGGGGAGGAGCTTCGACTATGAACCATCGTCCCTCGTGCTGCTTTCGGAGATCCTCAAAGCTGCTGTTTCCTTCGCCATGTTCACCATCGAGAGTAGGCTGGAAAAGCAGCCGCTGCAGCAGCAGCTGTATCATGCGTTCCTGCACCATGACTGGAAGATGGTCGTTCCTGCCTTCCTGTACACAGCTTGCAACCTGCTGACGTTCTCGAACTTGGCCAACTACGAGCCACAAACTTACACAATCCTCATGAATATCAAGATCCTCATCACCGCTCTCTTCTGGTCCATCCTCTTCAACAAGGCCATCACTCTGCGAGTTCTGACGTCTCTGATCATCCTCACCTTGGGCTGCGCGCTTGCAAACATAGACTGCGACAAGCTATCGAGGGGCATTCTTTCCTCCTTTCGCACCTCTCACTTCCTCTTCGTGCTGCTGCAGGCGACCGTCTCAAGCCTCGCGGCGGTTTGCAACGAGCTCCTCCTCAAGAAGGCCAGCCCTGCGACGAGCTCCAGCATGAACCGCTCGAACTTCGTGCTCTACTCCATGTCGTCGGTGCTCAACGCTCTTGTGCTCTCGTGGAGCGGGGCGGCGCATTGGATGACGCGGGTAACATGGCGCATAGCGTGTATCGTCTTTCTCCTGGTCAGCGGGGGGCTGTGCACAGCCTACACGCTCAAGAACTTCAGCGCGATAACAAAGGCGTTCGCCACTTCGTGTGAGATCCTTCTGACAGCAATGCTGGCGAACGCTCTCATGGGGACTCGGATCCAGTCGTGCTTCTGGATGAGCTTTTCTCTCATTGTCGCGTCTCTTGCTATGTACAATGCTGATCATGTCGACTTGCAGAGGCTCTGGTCCTTGAAAGCCGCTCTCTCCCCGCGATCTTTTCCTCTCTACTTGTTACTGCTGTACACAGCGTATAGCACTCAATGGTTGGCATTGAGTGCGAACCCGGCAGGGCCCATCGAGAACAAGACAGGAGCAGGAGAATGGTTGGCTTCGAGAACAGGCGGTGAGAATGTGAGCAGCAGCAAAGTTCTATGATGAGGTGGGTGAGAGAGGAAGGCTTGTATATCGATGATTTATTCATAGTGAAACACTCAAGATCCGTGCATGCGGCGGAGACTGCTTGCCGCCCTTGCTGATTTTGGAATGCTCGATGTTGTGAGCTAGCGGGAGAGGGGAGGAAAGTGAAGGCATGCGCTCAGATCTGAAAATCGAAGTTGGTCCTCTTAATAGCTGCGCATCATCGTCAGAACACCATGGAACGCGAGCGGGAGATCTTGGAGGAAATACTTATGAAGCAATCGTCGCAAACTCGGACGGGACTGTTCATGTTGAATTGTGGAATGGTGCAGGTCTTCGCCGAACATTCCTCGCAGAAAATCTGACCACGGCACCTCAGTACGCTCAGCGCCCGCAAGCAAACGCAACCTGCCCACAATGACGACAGTGATGCTTTCGGACAAAGAGGGAGAAAGGATTCTGCATGCGGATCAGCAAGGGCAACCTCAGTCAGGATATGCAGACCTTGCACTTGGTGCAGTTTTTGACGTCTCTATCCTTCTGCCACTCAGGAGCTTTCTCCCGCGGCCTTGAAAGCGCAACTGAAAGCTTCAGGGTCACTGTCACTGCAAATTTTCTCGTTGCCACTAACCAGGGACTGCGTTGCCTGCATTGTTCGATTGATCCGGGGTTGACATCTGAGCAGCCCTGTTATTACAAAGGAACCTGGACACGGTGTGTTAGTGAAGAGGAATACACGAGGGGGGTCCCGGAGAACATAAACGATCTAGTGTCATTCAATATTCATCTAGTGTCAGTCAATATACCATGAGGAATATTGTCTGACTTGGAATACAAACAAGCAACGCCTGCCTCTTTCGACCAAACAGCGAACAACACTGACATTTATACAGAGTGATATGGCTCGTTCTATATCCCAGCACAGCGCCTACACCTGCTGCTTCTGCTGCTGCCGCCGCTACTACTGCACCTCCACTACCACCTCCTTCTCCTCCTCCTTCTCCTCCTCCTCTTCCTCCTCCTCTTCCTCCTCCTACACCTTGGTCCTTTATTCAACAGCTCTATCGTCACATTCATTACGGTAACCATCTCCGTCATCGACATCTTATCCGCTCCTTCTACCAATTCTACTACGGCCACTGAATTCATCTTCATCCTCTTGGCCTTTCCTTCATCTCAATCTACACCACATTCATCATCTCCATTATCATCACCATCCTCTCCATCACCATGTTAAACATCAAGTTCATGTTCGATATGAGATCAACATCTGCATCTGCATCATCATCTCCGTTAGAAGATCTTCTCGTAATCCTCACAATCAAGAAATCCCCACAATCTCCCAATTGAGCATCAGCATCACTGGCATCATCAGCATCATCCTCGTCATCACCATCCTCGACATTGACACTGACATAGGAATGGGAATGGGAATGGGAATGGGAATGGGAATGGGAATGGGAATGGACATTTTCATCTCATCGTCATCATCATCGTCATCATCGCTGCTGCCGCCGCCTTCGTCTGGGCCCATCAGCATGGGCTAGCAAGGGTCCCTTGCTGCTTGGGGGCACCACATCACGCATGAAGAGCAGGGAGAGATTTTTACTCAAATGGAAGGGGAGAGACCTGACAAGCCCGCCCCAGCCATTTGATCCGGGCCGGCGGAAGCTGCACCGGATCAGACCTAGTCACTGTAGACTGGCACTCGTGATTTAACTTAAATCTTTACTCAAAGTTAACTTAACTTTGGTCCTGGAGGGGCGGCCCGGCAGACTCGGCGAGTGCTGACGGCCGGTAGTGACGCCGTCACTGAGATTGACTTTTATTAGTAAAACTTCATTGCCTTGCGGGAGTGCACAAAAAAGTAGACAAGAGGCCTTATTTCATATGCCCTCATCCTAGGGTGGGGGGTCGTCATTTGGACCCCAGTACCCCCTATATCCACTTTTGATAGGGAGGATTTGAGGTAGGTGGGGTAGTTGGGCCACAAAAATCAAAGGTTCCTAGTTGCAAGGGTATTACCCCTGGTTTGTACCACCCCCTTTGCTGATGGAGGAACATCTGAAAACACTCCCTTTCAACTACGTTCTTTTAATAATTTCAACTACCGGTCATCCTGTAGTCAAAATCCCTTTACCTAGGGGGGGTGATGAACGTACTCGTCAAAAAAAAAACTTGCATATTTAACTAACTTCTGTATTGAAAAGGAAGCAATATGGTAGAGAATAAAATATTTTACAATATTGATATTAACATTTAAAATACTAAAAATTTTGTGGGTCAACACGCCCAGGAATGACTACGATAGGGGGTAGTCAGGTAGAAAATGAAGGGGTACGAGGAAATTTGTGTGGGGTCAGGGGGTCTACTTTATGAATTATGACCGGTGATCAGGAATGGTAAGCTCAACAAATCGGCTTCTGTACTCTGAAAACATCGTAAAAAGGGGGTGGGGGTACAAAATGAAGGGTGGGGGTGTAGCAAGGAGGGGTATGCAGGAAACTAATGGGAGGGGTGTGTGGAAGGAGGTTCATTTCAGCGCCATGGTTCATTTCAGCGCCATGGTTGTGGCACGTCATGGAAGGCGATGAAGGGAGGGAGGAAGAGACGAGGGGAGGGAAATGAACGAGAAGGTAGAGGCCAGGAGGATGAAGAGAGTCGAGACGAGAAGATGTAGGGGAACAGGAAAGAAACCATGAAAGGAGTGAGGGGGGAGAGGACATGTGTTGACAGCACGTTTTGGGAGTCAGATAGGACGGGGAGAGACGGGGATTCAAACATACGAAGTAGGATGTCTCAGTCAATCAAACATCAGGGCTAGATGAATGTATGAGGCAGCTCTGTATATAGAGTGACAGATGGTGGGCAAGTGATAGTCGGAGGTCGGTAGCAGTGAATGGTACCATGCATGATAGCTGCTCCCCCTTGTCCTGCCTATGTGAACCATTAGAGCCATGCAAGGCAGAAGTTTGTATCCTCCTTGTACTTCCCCTCCTCCCGTAATCTGACCGGCTCGATGGCTGCATAACACCTGGGAAGCAGACATGGCGATCAGCTAATTTGGGCGGCATCCACTGCTACCAAGTGGATGGATAGCTGGTAGCACATGCAGAGCGATCGGTCGCCCGCTTGATGCACATGGTGACATTCTGGCATATAAGACAGTCTCCCATGCCTTGGCCGTCTTCATCCGAGTGATAAAGGGGACGTGCAGGGGTGGGATGGAGGGCAGCTGTTGTGAACTTGCGAGTCATGTCAGACTCGCTGCTCTTAAACTTGGGTGGATCATTCATCATGCGCTAACATGAAGGAGGAGGGGCAAGCGGAAGACGGCGGCAATGCGCAGCCATTGCCATCCCAGCCCGCTGACGAAGGGCAGCCGCACTCACCGGAGGGGTCGCAGCATGAAGCCTCCCATAGGAAGCCAGATGCGATCGATGAGACAGGCATCAGCTTCGACATCTCCGGTAGCTCACAGATCGGCTCGTCAGTGAGGAGAACGAGCAGGAAGAACGATGGCGTCGACTCGAGCTGGCACAACATGGACGGGACGGTTGCTGGAGGGAAGAGAAATTACTTCGCAAACCGTGCGATCCTTGCTCATGGACCCCCTCGTCCAAAGCCGAACCCCGCAGATGTCAAGCTGATGGACTCAGCCAACATCTCGCATGAGTTCTACGTGCCTTTCTCTGAGATCCAGTGGATTTCTAACCTTTCCGAAGGAGGTCAGAACTTCGCTCCCCCGTCCCTTCACTATTCTTTTGTACCTCCTGCACCCTCCCTCTCTCCCTCTCTCCCTCTTTCTGTTCCTTCCTCTTCATCCTGCCTTGCGCCCTCTTTTTCCCTTGCCCGATCCCCACCAGTCGCATGACGAAACTTGCTCTCGCGATCCCCATCTAATGGTTTTCTCTTCAGCCATGGGAGAAGTGCACCGAGTGAAGTGGAGAGGTCACGATTGTGCTGCCAAACAGATGAAAGGAAAGCACATCTCCAATACGAGCTCCCAAATGTTGTGCACTGAACCCTTTTCGGAGGTTTTCTGACATCTGCCGTCAAGGTACAAGGACATTCTCAAGGAAATCTACATTATGTCCAAGATAGGGTGAGACGGCACCTTCTCTCTCCTTCGAGGCTGATCCCTGCCTTCCAGCTTTCACCCGCATATCGTAGCCTTCTACGGTGTCTGCTCGGGGCCCGGAGGAAATCCAGTCATCCTCCTCGAGCTGGTCAACGGCCCCACGCTTGACCACTTTCTCGCCAGCATGGAGGGCATGCAGCTGCAGTGAGCTGCTTCATGGAGATATGTGCTTTTCTTCCTTACGATCCTCTGCAGCTGGAGGAAGCAGCGGCCAACGCTAGCGGCCTGGACTAGAGGCCTTCTCAAGGGACTGGCGTTCTTGCACGATCGGGTCAGCCGCTGCCCCGTCCCTCGTCTCGACTTTAACTCCTAGCAACCACGGCTTGCGCTCATCCCAGCACGTGCTCGCTTGCACGCTCTTCTTCTTCCTCCCTCTTCTCTCTCGCTAACCCTCTCCTCTTACTGCAATCTCCCCTTGACACCATCACCTGCTAGAATCCCTCGCCCTGACTTCCTCTCACACTTGACTTGCCTCTTCATCGCCTTCTTTGTCCTCCCTCCTCCTGCTACTTGAGCCGCTTCTAACCCTCTTCCTGAAGGAACCCATGATCATGCATCGCGATTTGAAGCCAGGGAATCTTTTGCTGGCAGGTAGAGATTTGGTCCCTCCCCTCGTCCTCCTCATTCTTCCCGTCTCTTTATGTTTCCTCCCCGTGACTTATTCATACAGAGGGTTTGCGCACGATCAAGATTGCAGACTTTGGAGTGAGCAGAACGTTGAAGAAGAAGGCGAGTATCTTCTGTGGGCTCGCGTTCTCTTACCTGCTGCTTCTCAGGATCGTCTGCAACGAACGCTGACGGGCATGACGGGCACAAGAAGATACATGGCACCTGAGGTCAACCCCCTCAACCCGGCCTCCTCCTTCTCTTCTCTCCCTTCATCCCCTCCTCATCTTCCTCCCTTACCCCTCTCCTTCTCCTCTTCCTCTCTCTCGCCTTCCTCTCCGCCCTCCGCCGTCTCCCTTGGTCTGCTCCTCTTCCTTCCCCTGCTTCTCTTCCTTGCCCTCCTCTGATCTCGAGCAGGTGTATGGCTGCAAGCAGGGCGTGTACACAGAAAAAGCTGACATCTATAGCTGTAAACCTTGTGTCCCAAGCTCTCAACCAGCTGAATTTCGGTTGCATGCGTTACAGGCACGCTTGTCATGTGGGAGATTGCAACGGGGGTCAAACCTTTCTCGGATGTTCCTCCAGCTGAGCTTACGAGTGTGGTAGGAGAGGAGAGGAGGAGTGGGAGGAAGGCAGGGAGAGGGTAGGCAGATGGACAGCAAGCGGGGGGGAGGAGGACTTTGGGCAGGGGGGAAGGAGGACTTTGGGCAGGGGGGAAGGAGGGGATGGAGAATGGAGAGAGCAGCAAAGGAAGGGAGGGAAGGAGCAGGAGATTGAAAGATGAGAGGAGGAGGAGGAGGAGGAGGAGGAGGAGAATGAAAGGAGAGGGAAGGATTGCTACCTATCTTGCTCACTACGTTGCACAGAAAAATCGAGAGAAGATTCGTCCCTCATTGGAGATGGTTGAATGGAAAGATTTTGCAGGTTCGTTTGTGCTTGCTCAAGTCGTGCTTGCTCAAGTCTCCTGCATGTCTTCTTCCTCCATCTCCTCCAATTTTTCCTCCTCTTTCTCCTTCATATCCTCATCATCAGCATCATCCTCATCTTATTCTGATCGTCGCTTCTGCTTCCTTGTGTGATTGAGATGTCCGCAGGCCTCATTGAGAAGGGATGGAACAGAGTGCCCGAATCTCGCCCGACGGCCTTAGGTAGAGATGCGACAGTTGAAGAGAGGAGCGGGAAGAGCAGGAGCAGGAGGGCATGGGGGAAGGAGCGCGAGAGAATAAGGGGCGGGAGGAAGATTCAGACAGGAGCAAGGCAGAGTGCAAATCAGAGCGTACAGGGGCATAAAAAAGCGGAGGATGAGGAGAAGGAGGAAAGGAGCAGCAGCAGCAGCAGATGATGATGATGATGATGATGATGATGATGATGATGAATTGACTGATGCTGACGATGTTGCAGAGATGCTACAGGAGCTCGAGGGCCTTCCAGGCCTGCCTGATCCTTCAGTGGAGATAAGCCCCATGGGCAGGTGAATAGCTGACCTAAGGCTGCTCTTCTCCTGATCCTGCCCCTTATCCTCCTCCATTTACACCACTACCTCCTCGTCCTCTTTCTGCCTCCTCCTCCTCCTCCTCCTCCTCCTCCTCCTTCTCCTCAGCATCACCACCACTACCTCCACCATAACCATCACTTCTCTCGCTTTTCCTTCACTTCCTCGTGGTCATCCTCGTCCCTGCCTTTGATCCGCGTTGCGTTTCATCTCAAGGTCTTCTGATTGAGACTGCAGCAAGTCGATGGCGCAGTCAACGGCGATAGCAGGGGAAGGAACCATCAAGGGTGGCTGCTCCTGTGTTGTCTCATGAACAAGAACCCCTCCCCTCCCCTCCCCCCCTCTATCGTTATCGTTCCCTCCTCCTTCTCCTTCGCCTCTCCTTCCTCCATGTTCATTAACCCGAATCCTCCCCTGCTCTCCTTTTCGTCCTGTCTTCGTTGAGATCTATTGTTCTTCGCTTCTCCCTCTCTTCTCTTCTCTTTTCCTTTTCTTTACCTCTGTGAATTTTTTTCCCTGTATTTATGCTTTTGACTCGATACTTGAGCTCAATAATTGAAATCACCGACTACTTCAAATCCTCCTCCTCCTCCTCCTCCTCCTCCTCCTCCTCCTGCCTTGTCCTCCTCCTCCTCCTCCTCCTCGGTGTCTCTACCCTCTTCGCGCACTCTCTGTCGTTCCTCTTCCTCTACTCGCCCTTCTTAGCATCGCTTGGTCTTTCCTCCACCTTCCGAGCTCGGAGCCCCTGCCAACCGCGAGTTAACACCTGCGGACAGGCAGAGGAGGAGCAGAGGCAGGGGAGGGGAGGAAGGAACAGGGGTGGCGGGCTGAAGGCTTTCAAGGGTGGGGGTGGGGAAGAAGAGGAACGGAGCAGGACAAGGGAAGTGAATGAGGGATAGGAGGGAAGGGGAGGAGGGAGGCAGGAGGGGGTGGACGGGAAGGGAAAGGGAGGGGTCCAACTTCTTCTTCGGCGTTGGTGACGATGCTCTCGGTGTCGTTGTCTCCGATGACTCGCCCTCCTGTCGCTTCGCTTTCCTTGTCGAAGAGCAGAAACTTCTTGATCTGCCGCACACCATGAGCACAGGGAGATGAAGAGGCTGACCGGAGGAGGCGGCGGCGGAGGAGGAGAAGTTGGAGAGGGCGAGGACGAGGAGAACCAAGGGGACGAGGAGCAGGAGCATGAAGAGGAGAAGGAAGAGGAGTAGGAGGAAGAGCAAGATGAGAAGCTGCAGGCGATTCACCTTGGGTTTGCGAGCCTCAGGGTTCTCATACTCAGGAACGACGATGGCCCTCTTGGCCGAAAGATCCCCGTTGTCCGAGGAAGTCTGCTCCATGCAGTCACATCCCCCTCCTTCATCCTCTCTCCCAACTCCTTCCTGCCCTCTCATTTCTCCTCGATTCTGCATGAATACCTTCCCTTCCTTCCGACCACCACCGCACCCCCCTCTCGCTTCTTCCTCACTTTCGCTCCTCCTTCCTTCTTCCCTCCTTCCCCTCCTCGTTCTCCTCCCTCTCTCCTCCCTTCTCTTCTCCTCCACCCTCTTGCTGCAGCCTACCACAAAGACTACGAGGACGGTGACGCAGCAGCCAGCGGCGAAGAGAAAGTCCAACCCCATGCGAGTGTCGGTATCTGCCTCGGAGATCCTGCCATGGTTGAGAGGAGCGCGACAATCAGCTGGAGGAGCAGGAGGAGCAGGAGGAGCAGGAGGAGCTGGTGGACCAAGAGCAGGAGCAGCACCAGGAGCAGCACCAGGAGCAGCACCAGGAGCAGCACCAGGAGCAGCACCAGGGGCAGCAGCAGCAGCAGCAGCAGCAGCAGCAGCAGCAGCAGCAGCAGCAGCAGCAGCAGCAGCACCAGCCGCAGCAGCAGCCGCAGCAGCAGCAGCAGCAGCAGCAGCAGCAGCAGCAGCAGCAGCAGCAGCCGCAGCAGCCGCAGCAGCAGCCGCAGCAGCAGCAGCAGCAGGGTGGGATGGGTGAGAATGGGGCATAGGGGACGGGAAGGGCTGGTACCAGTGATACTCGACGGTGATGCGATCAGGATGAGGCTCGTGAGGCTCAACTTGCCTGCGGGAAAAATTAGAAGACGAGAAGCAGAAGCAGGGGAAGAAGGAGGGGAAGAAGGAGGGGAAGCAAGAGAAGAAAGAAGAGGAGGAAGAGGAGGGAGGAAGAGGTGAAGCAACAAAAGAGGAAGAGGAAGAGGAAGAGGAAGAGGAAGAGGAAGACGAGGAGGGAGGAGGAGGGGGAGGAGGAGCATTACTTGTATCTGTACTTGTGACGAATCTCATGGATCTCATTGCCAGAGTAAACAAGTTCCACGGTCAGCCTGCACCAAGAGATCAGGAGAGGAAGAGAAAAAGTGCAGGCAGTGAGAGAGGAGGAGATCAACATGGGCAAGAGAGTTTGTACTGAGGAAACACGGAGGAAAGGGTCAAGCAGGCCAGATAGGAAGAGAGAGAAGAGGACAAGATACCCCTAGGAAATGGAAAGAAATGCAGCAGGAGGACATTAAAAAATAAAAGGAGAACAAGAGGCAAGGAAAGAAGGTGAGAAGATAACAACACATCCATTCTCTTACACGTCAAGGTGATTTCCGTTCCCATCAGATACTGTGATCCATTCGCTTTCAACTTTGTCAATCTCTTTTGATCCTGCTCTCCCTCTCTTCACCTCGAAAATTTCTCGTGATCGTACGCAAGCTGCATCTTTAGCGTGTCCGATGCCGCGATGTCGTTGTAAGGATAGTTCAGCTCCACCTGTTCCGCAATGATCACAAAACCATCATCCTCCTGTCCTGTCTCGAAACATCTGTCCGACCTCGAACGCCCTCTCCTACATCTCTTCTATTCAGAGTGCGCATCTACTCAACTTTGGGTATGTGTGTACATCCACCACTACACTGGACCATCAACTCCCTCTCTTCTCCTGTCTTCCATCTAGTCTCCCTCCTCTCTCACCCACTCCATCTCCCTCGTCTCCTCATGCTCTGCTCACCGATCGATCGACGGCGTACAAGGGGCCCTGACCGACGAGCACGTCGCTCCACATCGTCCGCTTGCCTTGGAACTGCATCCTCTTGAACGTCTGCACCTGCTCTGATAGTCAGAAGCCTCTCACAGACATGCCGGCTGAAGACGCGAGGAAGGAACAACTGTGAGGGTTGGCGGGTGAAAAAGAGGAGGAGGATGTAGTGGCAGTGGGATCAGGGTGAAGAGGAGGAGGATAAGGGGTGAAGGGGGGACGAGGAGGACGAGGAGGATGAGGACGAGGAGGATGAGGACGAGGACGAGGACGAGGACGAGGATGCGGTGGAGCACAGAGTGGATCCGGGACTCACAGGATCTCCTCGGAAGAATCCATGAGCACAACCGACCATCGCCAACAGACCCACGAGCAGCAAACTTTGTCTGCACTCCATCGCTGCACAACGAAAAGAAGGGCAGCAGGACCTGGAACGGAGCAGGAATTGGAGAGATTAGAAAGCAAACTAATGACAAGAAGTAAATGTTTATGTGAAGTATGAAGTGAAATGAAGTATGAAGTGAACACGTGTGTCTAGACGTGAGCAGTCAGATCATTGTCTCTCTTTACATGCCCCCGTTAGGCTGATTCCATCGAGGCTAAGTACAAGGGATAAACGCTCTTCTTTCCTTCACTGACAAGGGATAAATGCACTTCTTTCCTTCACTGCCTCTCCCTTACTATCCCTTTCCTCCTACGTTATGCATTCAGCCCACAGGCAGCTTCGAAACATGTCTCTCTTCCTCCTAGCTCCTCATCGTCTCTCCTACTAGCTCCTCCTCGTTCCCCTCTCTCCTCCTCTCTCCTCCTCTCTCCTCCTCTCTCCTCCTTGCTCCTCCTAGCTCCTCCTAGCTCCTCCTAGCTCCTCCTAGCTCCTCTCTCCCCCTCTCTCCTCCTCTCTCCCCCTCTCTCCTCCTAGCTCCTCCTCTCTCCTCCTCGCTCTCCTCGCTCTCCTCGCTCCTCCCCTATCTTCTTTGTCTCTCCCTCTCCCTCAATCATTTTATTATTCCCTCCCTCCCATGTCGTGGCATCGCATCGAAACGTTCGTAACGGATAGTTAAGTAATCTTTGACGGTAAGGAAGTTTGTGCTCGACGGGAGGAGAGGACGAGGAGGAGAACGAGGAGGACGAGGAGGACGAGGACGAGGAGGACGAGGACGAGGACGAGGACGAGGACGAGGACGAGGACGAGGACGAGGACGAGCAGAATCAGCAGCTGCTGCTGCTGCTGCAGCAGAAGATAGAGCAGCAGCATCAGCAGCATCAGCAGCATCAGCAGGAGAAGGAAGAATCGCCCCTAGTTGTTTCATTATGAATCAGAAGACCTAGACAAGGCCTCGTCGGCTCCTCGTCTCTCCGCGGTGGATTTGTGCCTGAAGAGCAATAGGTGGTGTTGAGATCCCTGTTTGAAACCTCCTCGCTCTTGTACCTGTAATGGATATATCCTTGCATTGATTTTCCTGTTGTCGTATCCAGGCAAGTTTGTTGTTTGCTCGAACGAGCCAACTTAAGGCAGGGACTAATGGAGGCGGCAATAGCACGAGTGAATGAACGAGGGGCTCGATTGTTCTTTCCAAATTCATGTTTGAAACCAAAAAGGTCTCATAACACCACACTCTCAAAAGACAGGATCTCAACGTATCTCTGCCGCAAACCTCTTCTATCATAGAGAAAGACGTCACCACAACACAATCACCTCCTCGGCTTCTTCAGTTCCGTCATCATCTGACATTTCAAGGCCTCCTGTGACCTCACTGGGTTGACCTGCCACCAAAGAGGAAGAATCTAGAGAAAGCAGACCCATTGCCAGCCTCGCTGCTCCTCTTGAGCGTGTCGTATTCCTCCTGCAGGTTCTTGAGCTGACTCTTCATAGCCTCCAGTGTCTCTTGCTCCCGGTCAAGTGCCTTGGCATTCGTTTTCTTGCTCTCCTGCTGCTGCTCCAGCCTCTTAACGCTCTCTCTCAGCTCCTCGCACTTGCTTCTCAGCTCCTCCAACTCTGCCTCTGCCTGGGCCCTCATGTCGATCGCGAGTGTCAGCTCTACACCGACTGTCGTTCGCTCAGTCGTCATTCTCGTCAGCTCCGACGTCAACGTCTGCTGCTCTACTCGCAAGCGCTCAAGATTTGTGTCGAGATTTTCACGTTCCTGCCTTCCCCTCTCTGCCTCCTCCCGCAGCGCCGTAAGCTCCTTCACCACGACATCCCTCTCCTGCTTGCATGCCTGCAGACTGCCCTCCCTTTGAAGGAGCTCCTCCGAGAGCTGCTCACCTCTCTCCTCCTTTTCATTGAGCTCTTGCCTGAGGTTGTCAAGCTCGGTGTGCGTGGCTTTGTGCTGCTTAGCCAGGGAGGCCAGGCTGAGCTCTTTCTCTGTCTTCTTCTGCTCCAGCGCCTTCACGCTCTCTCTCAGCTCGTTGCACTTGTTGCTCAGCTCCTCCAACTCTGCCTCTGCCGCCTGCTTGCTAGTCTTGCCAGCAGTAAGTGCATCCTTGATAGCTTGATACTCTCTCCTGAGTTCGCTGATGTCTTGTAGTTCCTGCCTTCCCCTCTCTGCCTCCTCCCGCAGCGCCGTAAGCTCCTTCACCACGACATCCCTCTCCTGCTTGCATGCCTGCAGACTGCCCTCCCTTTGAAGGAGCTCCTCCGAGAGCTGCTCACCTCTCTCCTCCTTTTCATTGAGCTCTTGCCTGAGGTTGTCAAGCTCGGTGTGCGTGGCTTTGTGCTGCTTAGCCAGGGAGGCCAGGCTGAGCTCTTTCTCTGTCTTCTTCTGCTCCAGCGCCTTCACGCTCTCTCTCAGCTCGTTGCACTTGTTGCTCAGCTCCTCCAACTCTGCCTCTGCCGCCTGCTTGCTAGTCTTGCCAGCAGTAAGTGCATCCTTGATAGCTTGATACTCTCTCCTGAGTTCGCTGATGTCTTGTAGTTCCTGCCTTCCCCTCTCTGCCTCCTCCCGCAGCGCCGTAAGCTCCTTCACCACGACATCCCTCTCCTGCTTGCATGCCTGCAGACTGCCCTCCCTTTGAAGGAGCTCCTCCGAGAGCTGCTCACCTCTCTCCTCCTTTTCATTGAGCTCTTGCCTGAGGTTGTCAAGCTCGGTGTGCGTGGCTTTGTGCTGCTTAGCCAGGGAGGCCAGGCTGAGCTCTTTCTCTGTCTTCTTCTGCTCCAGCGCCTTCACGCTCTCTCTCAGCTCGTTGCACTTGTTGCTCAGCTCCTCCAACTCTGCCTCTGCCTCCTGTTTGATGGAGCTGCTGCTGACGAGCTCTTGCTGGTCTCTGGAGACCTGAGGGAGGTCCTCGGGGCTCTTGATGTCCGTCTTATCGTCTTCAGGGTCTGCCGTTTCGTCGAGCATCTCGTCACTGCTGGTGTCATGCTGCTGTGCCTGGGTGTTGGTCCGCCTCTTCTTGACTGGGGAGCCGTGCGGCTCTTGCGCCTGCTGCACAACCTCGGTTCCCGCACTCTCGAAGCCATCTTCTGCTATCAGGACATCTCCGTCAGAGTCGCACTCCTTCCATGCGTTCGCCTGGTTCTTCTCTTGATCATGGCACATGTTGAGCAAGGGTTGGAGATCGGAGGGAAGGCCGGTGGGTGACCAGGAACGAGCTAGGAGGGCGGGGAGGTTTGCTGGGAAGGGAGGAGCAGAGGTAACAAGAGCTAAGAAAGGGGGCGAATTGATGTAGAGACCCATGGGTAGAAGGTTATCATTATTATAATAGAGGCTATAGTAGATATTACAAAGGTCCTGACCCTCTCCATTCGGCCAACTGCAAGCAAGTTCGTAGTTTCCCCGATCCTTGCCGGGTTTGCCCGTTATTTTTCCGTAACGGGAATAAGAGCCGTTGGTGGCTTGCTCCCGCAATGGGCCTTGCGGCGCAGCCTAGAGGAGCTGAGGGGAGGAAGGGAGGAGGAGGAGGAGGACAGAGGAGAGGGCAGGATACAGAGACTGAGGAGAGAGCTAGCCGATACAGACTGCATGGATGTATCTCTTGGTGGAATATGCCGCGGTGCATGGCTAATGCTGTGTGAATGAGACGCCTCGTGTGAACGGGTTTGTTCAGCGGTTAGACCTTGTGTGCCATGATGGTAAGGAGGAAGGCGTCTGATGAGGGCGATCCGTCTTCACTGGACCAGGACAAGCACAACAGCACCACCGTCATGCTGGAGGAGGAGCGGCATGCACGACCGACCGTGTCGCTGGGGCTGAGCACGTGGGAGGCAGTTCTGAACGAGCTGCTGGAGCTGAGGAACTCCGATCTGATCAAGTCCACCACGACTGCATACAACCTGCTGCAGAGCGTGGAGGAGACGGTCCTGCCGACATGGAAGGAGGAGGGGAGGAGCCTGCTGTCCGCGGCAGGTCTCGATCATGGTCAACTCAGGAAAACGGGGATGCGAGAGGAGACGATCGAGAAGTTGTATCTCGGTCTGTATGCCTTCTCCTTCGGGTTTGGAACGATCGCACGGCAGGCGATCGAAGGCGTCAGGGAAAAGGAGCACAGGAGGGAACTTGTACTTCAAATCTCTCAGGTGTGTGCCGGGCCTGCTGTTGCGCGAAGGGGGGGGGGGGGGGGGGCGGGCTTCGATTCTTTGCTTCTCTTTTTTGCTCTGTTACTCTACCTCTCCCTCTCCCACTCAATCTTCCTCCCTCTCCCCCTCTCGCACTCTCTCCCTCTGCCTCTGCCCGCTCCTATTTTCCCCTGCTACTCTCTGTCGTTGCTGCAAGGATCAGACGAGCCGTGACGCTGCCCGGCAGGTGTTCAGCACACTGACAGGAGAAGCGCTGGACGCGGAGAACCACGATCTGATCAGTGAGATGATGGAGGAAAAGGATAGGAGGATAGCCGACCTGGACCGGGAGAAAACGATCCTTGACCGGAGGGTCAAGACCGTCAACGAAGAGATTGCGTTCGCCCACCACATGAGCAACAAGGCGCATGCGGAGAGGATCGCGGCGGCAGCCAAGGCGGAGGCGGAGATATCTGAGCAGCTGATGACTATAAGGCAGCTGGAGCAGGCTGTGGCAGGGCTGTCGAGCAGGGTGAGGGAGCTGGAGGAAGAGACTGGGGTGCTGAGAGGAGACTTGGAGCGTTTGGAGGGAGAGAACAAGGAGATGTCGGAGGAGCGGGAGCAGACGAGGAGCAAGCATCTTTCCGAGAAGAAAGCTCTGACCTCCGAGTTGTACGCTGCGAGGAACGAGGCACAAACTGCCTCCAAGAGCCTCCATGACTTGAGCGTGCGGCATGCAACGTTGAGCCGGGTGAACGGGAAGATAGACGAGGAGCTGAAGTCTGTCAGGCTGCAGCTGGAGGAGGAAGGGAAGGAGAAGGAGGAGCTGCTGATGGAGAGGACGAGGGCTCTGGAGACTATCACACACCTGGAGCAGGAGGCGGCAAGGCAGGCAGCACTGCAGCAGCAGGAGTTGGATCGGTTGCGGGCAGAGAAGGAGAGGACTGAGAAGCTGATGAACGAGATGATCGATCGACTGAAGCTGACGGGGAAGGAGGCGGAGGAAGAGGTTCTGCGGCTCTCGACCTCCGTCAGGAAGATGGAGGAGGAGGTGGAGGAGAGGAAGAAGAAGGAAGCCGAGCTGTCAGAGGAGCTTGACATGGTCTGTGCTAACGTTGCTGTTCTACGAAACTCGCTGAGGAGCGAGGAGGAAGAGAGGAAGCGGTGGAAGCAGGAGGCAGAGGATAAAGCAGGAGCCTTGAAGGGCTTACAGGAAGAGCACAAGAACCTCCAGCGAGCCCACCGGAGAAAGGAGGAGGAGGCAGAGGCTACGGGGAAGGCTCTCAGCCTTGCTAGGAAGGAGGCAGCGAAGCTGGAGGAGGAGAGGAGGAGGGCGACGGAGGAGCTGGCGAGGGAGATCGTTCAGCACGAGGTCAGCAGGGTGGACGGGGCCATGAAGCTGGAGTCGAGTCACTCGTCGCGCATGCTGCTCGTCCGGAATACGCTGCAGAGGACAAGCGAGCAGAGAGCGTCGAGGATGATGAGCTTCTTCTCGTTTCATCTGCAAAACAAGGAGGAGGGGGAGGGAGGGGAGGGGAGGGAGGGAGAAGCAGAGAGGAAAGGAGGGTTGGTGTCTGGGCTGGAGAGGGAGCAGAAGGAGAAGGAGGAGGAAAAGGAGGAACGTGCGGGCGATAAAGAGGTCTCTTCTCCTATCAGGTCACCCGCTCCTTCTCCTCGTGCTGATCTCAAGTAAGTCTCGCCCATCATCATCATCCTCCGCCTCCTCTTCCTCCTCACCCATCCTCCGCCTCCTCCTCCTCCTCCTCCTCCTCCTCCTCCACCTCCTCATGCCAATAAACATCATCATCTTCTTCTCTCTTCCTCTTGGGCATCCCCGACTTCTCCTGAAGCCCCTCCATGTGCCTGTCGAGGCCTCCCCCTCCCCCCTCTTTCCCCAGGAGCTTCAGATATAGTGGTTTCAACATTGCTGCATGACAGCTTGCTGAAATTCTTTTCAAGATCTTCCATGACCTGCAGACAAGCTCTTCAGACTCCTACACCTCCAATCGTAGAAGCAGAACACAAGTCAAATGTCTGTTAGCCCATGAGCTCACATTCTAGACTGTTCATGTAATTTCCACCAACAACAGTTTTCAACATTCCTTATTTGTACATGTTTACATGCAAATGGAGCAGCTTCGTTAATATCAATTTACACCAACTTGTTGGTCACACACTTGTCTTTGATCGTGCACCTTTTACTAGCATGAGTGCCTCATCGCGCCAACGATAAAAACGAGGATTCAATTGGCAAGATGCTGGAAATATCCAAGAGTGCAGGAGTAACAAAAGGAAGGCGAGTTGAAAGGTGATTGTGATGCCTGTACAGAGAGGAGCGACAAGTCAAGGAGAGGAGAGGAGGACAACATGCTCTCTTCAGATGAGGAGAGGAGGACAACATG